GGTGTCGGTAAAATCGAGAATCAATTCAGGAAGTATCCACTGGACAGAGCTTTCCTGGGTGTGATATCGGGTTACGACTTAAATGAAACGCTTTCTGGCTGCCTACGCAGTCGGTGTCAACGAGCGCGTTCTGTGGCGTTCGTCACGCTGCGCTGTTGGAGCACTTTTATGGGAAAAACGGCTGCTCTCCCAGCTACAGGAGCGCTCCGCTCTCGGTTACAGGCGGAAAAGCACGCCTATCTCGAGGAAAAAAAAGAGCCAGGCATCCTGACCGACATTTCAGCATCTGGATATTGAAGACTCCAGATCAGCCCTCGGAACACGTACAGCTCACCTATAAGGATTTCCCGCGCTCGGGTCCAGCGAAGAGAGGAAATGGGACGGTGCATCCGGCCTGGTGAAATTGTCGTTGTCGTCGTCGATATTCACCCGCCAAGAAGTTGACATTCACGAGATTCCCGGACACGAAAAACCGAGTTACGCGCCTAGCTTCCGGCATCGAATTCGCGAATGACCTCCGCAGAGGGGAGGAAGGCTACAGCACGCCTCACATCGGTGGCAAAGTCGACGACGACGCGGTGCGGATGAGCAAGCAAGAAATTCTCATGGAAGCTCACTGTGAGTGGGAAAATTCCGATAGCCTCTGATCAGAGCTCGCAAGAAGACTTTCCTAACGCTCGGAGCATGAGAATTTCCGAAACAGATTCCCGTCTACCGTCTTCCGCTTGACCCGACCTACAGGGAAAATTCGCCAGGCCTCGGGCTGGAGCCTAGCCCTCGCTTCTTCTGACCCAACATCTATTCCTTCCGTGCGGTCGTTTCCCTTCTGGATTTACGTTCGTTCGCCTTGCCATCACGGAACATGTCGAAAAGGAGAACTCTGGAACGGGCGTACACCGGACGAGCATTTGTACCGTGATGGTAACCAGTGGTGAAAAAAAAGCTTGTCAAATGTTCTTAGCGCCATCTTTCGCTCGATGCAACCGGAGAGGGAGTTTCACTTTAAGGCGTTCCCTCATACTTCTCCGTCTCTTGGATTTGACTTTCAAGGCGATGCATTTTGGCAAGCACATACGACAGGAGTAGAGGGACGGCTTCGGGAGCAGCCTCGACCTACGAATCGAGCACTTTCGGGTGATTCCTCTACCGGTCAAGCTAATGTAGCCTAGGAAATCCCTCCGTAGTAGTGTTGGTAAATCGAGCGGCCTACATCCGTATAATATGCGTACCAGGGACTTCTTCTGTCTGATTGTGAGGAAGATCGCGCGCAGCACTGGCAGACCTCGATACTCATGATGACGCTTCGAAGCTCCCTCCTGGGAAATAATAATTGCCCTGTTATCCGTCCTGCAACGGCTCTGACAGAAATCCGATCGTCTTCCACGCATGCCGCTGGTGCGCTCGTTTTCTGGGCGCTCAGCCAGTAGCAATGCAATTGACACGTACGATTGTTGAGGGCACGCTCTGCATACCGGGTTCACCGACCAGGATGGAAACGACTATCACTGTCCGGTTATGTCCTCTACCGAGAGCCAGTAGAGGAAGGCCATACACTTCGATACAAACCGAAAGTTTCTCTCGATTGCGTGTTCATCATTACTGCTTGCTATTGATCGGGCAGCAGCTGGGAAAGCTGGAAGTCTACTGAATCTGTTTGCCTCCCGGCTGGGCGAGCTCTAATGGAAAGAAGAAACTAGCATTCTCTGAACACAACTTGGCTAATGACCGCAAATAGAGGAAGACAAGCTCCATTCGATGGCGACAGGAAGAGGTATCGCTCGCTCGGGCTCCTGCCATCGACTATCCGAATTTCGACGCAGGCGCCGCCGCTCGATACGAATATGACTGATGCGGCTCCGGATGGTGCCGCCATTGGATTATTTCGTCGTTGTGGTCGGAACGAGATGATCCATCAGTTTTCCGCCCGTTTGGACACCGATACACACGTGACACGTGCCTCGCTTTCCCGGTCGGGCTGTCCACGGGTTTCGATCATCTCCACCGTGAACTCGATTCTGATTGGGATGTTGATCATTAAACATCGGGGCGGAGGGTAGAACTGTCTGGGAATACATGTGTACAGGTCCGGATCAGGCGTTCGAAATAGCGGAGGCTCGAGGGGTTCGAGCAGCGAGACGATGCGGCGGAATTCCGAGGACTCAAGGACTTTTGAGTCGGTGAAAAGAGGTTGGGACGATTGTTCGGAAAAGAGCTCTTGCAACAGCCACCCGAACAAGTGATTGCCTTTGCGACTGCGGCAGCAGAAAATACTAGGTACCTAATTGGTTCAAACTTTCCGAGTTCAAGTAGTTTAGTTCTTTGATGCTCGATCCGCTAGAGGAGCCCCGTGAATTATTATTGAAGTCAAGTCAAGCCTGTAGATTTCGACCGGAGTTACCGCCGCCGAACGAACGAAATCGGAAGACTAGTTATGCCACTGTCCGATTGTTTGTACGTCATCACTGGATGCGTCAAACATGCCCCTACCCGAAACCGAGCTGGAATCCTCGAATCTCCTGAAGAGCATTTCTGGCAGGTCCTAAGTTAAGCCCCCTCCCCACATCTCTATATCTCAATCCGAACACGATATCGCAAGTCCGGAACTGTAATGTGTACATCAGTAAACAATTATCGAGCACATCGAGCGAAAATATATTTTTTCGGCGCCACGCAACGCAGACTCTTGAAGGTGTCCAGTGGGCGTTGATCTCGTGTCAATAATTTTCGGATAAATAAACACAATTTAATTGAAAAAGTGTCGACGCTCTCACCAAAGCCTTGCCATAGGCTTCGTGTCCGGATCGTTTGGAGGCGAAGCGACCGCATCGAACTCCGTCGACATCTTTCTATCGGAGACGACGGACTAGACGTTCTCGATCTGTGGCCCCTTTCCTATCGAATTCGATTCTCTCATGGGGGCAGAGATTACGAGAACATCTCGTAAGATGCTCTTGCGTACGGGGAAATCGTTACGCGTATGATGGCATTGACCGCCGGTAACCTTAGCTAGTGAGCTCTGGAAGCAGTCGCCTCGTCTGGAGTAATCCCCCTTGGAGGGTCTCTCCATCGCATGAAGCAGCATTCGCAAGAGCTAGTTCTGCTCATCCGGGAAAGAGCTACTACCACAGTGAATCGTGGCCTGGCTCAGTTCAAACAGCACGGATTACGCTTCCAGGGGCGAGATAATCAAGAAATCCAGAACTGCTAGTTCGACAGCATAGGAAAGATTCCATAGGCTACGGCCGGGCTGGATTCGCGTTCTTAGTCACGTCAGAATTATGAGGAGGTATCGGAAACATTGACCGAGAAGTTGCTGTTTAATGTTTTCAACAGATCATCTTGCGCTCCCGGCCGACGTTTCTGACTCGACCGAATCCAGCCGAGTGTCGCGGAGATGGATGCGATTCTCGATGTGCGGGAATCTGGGTGCAGTCGCGTCCAAAATCGTAAGACACCGACGGGAGGTGTGTCTGTACGCTTTCTCGTTTCGCTTCTACATAGATCAATATTTAGAGTGAGTGGCCCCCGTCCGATCCCAACGCATCAATCCTCAGCGCAACACCGGCCCAGGAGGATCCGGCAGAATCGAACGGTCTGGAAAGACTACCGATAAAAATAGACCGAACAAGACTTGTGCATCTTTTTTTTCTCATCGTATCGACGACTCGTGCTGGCTCCAAAACTGTGAATCGTTCCCAGTAAATGTTGCGAATCGTTGAGTGGACACTCGTCGACACGCACGTGAAGTCCACGTGTTTCGTCTGCGTAGCCGATGCCAGCAGCGCGCGCGACTTGACGGCGGGAGCCGTCAATCGTTGATCGGCTCCTTCAATGGGCGTAAATGCAGTTTTGAAAGAAATCCGCATCGGCCGAAATTCGTCGATGAATTCCATCGCTGACAGCTGTGAAAGTCGTCGGAGATCCGCGGCGACGGTGACGACGACGTCGCCAACTCGAATTCGACGACGTTTGGCGACACGACTACGGAGCGCCGTCGATCAAACTACCGCTGGCGCTGGTGGTGGTCTGATTCGACTTCGTGGGAGCCATCGGTCGAAACCCAATGGCTTCCTACAGACGACACGGTGCGACCCGGAGAATATTCGCACGCGGGAATGCACGCCACTGACTGAGTGACTGCGGCCGGCCGTACTTTTTGGAGATGAATCAGTTTCCAGACGTAGGAGACATGTCACACACCTCTCTTGAACACGGTGTGCTCCTCTGAGCGTCGGTCGGGCTACCAATTCAATTAGGACCCGCTGGCCACTGCCCAACCCGGTGACTTGATAGCGGCTGCCGCCGCCGCGCCAGCTGGTGCGTGATTCGCTCGGCCGACCGGGCAGCCGAGCCGCCGATCCGATAGCAGTCCACAGAAAGCGTCACCGAGTCGTGTGACTGATGACTGCAATCAGAACGAATTTTGGCAAATTATTGTTGTTCTTTTCCTCCGCCTCACTCGACTGGGTGAATATTCTATGGGTCCCAGGATAATTATTGAACATGTTCTGCCGGGGAATTAGCCTTTTCTCACCCAAGAGGCCGATGCGATCGCTGTATTCGAAGAGTTTTTAATTGCTGGTTTAGTCGCTTTCGTGACCATTTAGCATGGAAACTGTCGAGAGAACGCAGCGCCTCAAATCGTTAATCAATTCGGTGCGCATTTTCTTCGATATTCCGCCATAGTTTCAAGACTCCGTGCGCGAACACAGTTTTTGAGCATATTTCTCCTCGGTCGGATTTTTCCCCTAATGTTCGGGTAGTCAAAGACGAATCGGAGTCGTCGGGAGCCATCACAGGGTGGGGCGACGAGGGAGGTCGGGGGGGAGGGGGTAAAGTAGTTAGGTCTTGCAAAGAATTCCTCGAAGTGGTTCGCATGGGCTTCACAGTCAAAGGTGGCTCCCTCGTCCTCGAAGGACTTCCCGCTGCGAGGGACTTTTGGGAAAGGGCAACACGTAACGAGCGAAGGCACACAAGTCGGAGACCGGGCCTTCAGACTTGTATCTTATCATCGACGGTCGCAGCTCCTGTTATCAGGACAGTGTTGGAGGAACGACTCACGACGTGACACCTGGAACGAAGTGCACCGCGACCTGCATGAAACGGGGTTGACGAACCCGGTTGCTCCAGCGAAATTCGAACTTTTGTGAGCTGATTCTCCACCTAATTGCCGCCGCCACCGCCGGTGTCCAATTCAATCAGAGACCGGTCGATCCGTCAACAGGGAACAATGTGGTGAAGGCGGCGATTGGAATGGAAGGAGAAAGTACCACTGTTAGCATCGCTAACGAAGTGTGGCGCCTTCTACGAGAAGGTCGCTATAACGAATTACGGGCATATGATTACGAAGAAGTCGTCCAAATGATTAACTTCACCGAATACAATCACACCGAGCCGGACGTCTATAACTTCTATAAGGTAAGAGCACCGAACTTGACAGCGAGTACCTCGATAGGCTCCGAAACGGGACACGGAGAGATGATCGGTCAAACGGTCGGATACTTCCAGTGAGAGTCAATGAAAGAGAGTTGGGGCGCAGCGAAATTCAATCGCAATATCCGATACCTACTCCGTCTCAGCTCCGAGGCGGTCAACGGACCGCCAAGAACTTGACCATTGTCTGTTTGTGTATCTAGCAGTTCCTTACGAGAGCGATCGATCTCCATCGGAGAAAGACTCTGAAGGAAGCTCGCGGAGGATCGGATGACGGAGGCGTCATCGGACTCGACGTGAGAATCGCCGAAGATGGCGGTGATTCCCAGAACTCTAATTTCCTATTATTAAGAATCGAACCGGTATCGATCGCACTCCGATTTCTGATAGTATCGGTTTTCCATTGGGATTTCTGGCCCTCGATCAGCCCCTTTCCGCTGTGGATTCCTCGTGAGCGCCAGCGGCGTTTCGGCCTAAGCTGAGCGCCCCGTTTTGGAGAAATTTCCCCGTGTCGGTTCCTCCCCGGCACTCGTTCCCTGATTCGAGGGGCGGCTCGCGACGGCGAAAAGGCTTTCCGGATCCGCTCCTTCATGCATACATACATGGCGTTGAGGACAGTTTATTCTATTGTTCAGAATCTTTGGTACGAATCTCTCTTCAGCGCCAATGCCGCGTTTTTTTCTCCATTCATTCACTTCGGCTAGTGTCGAGTAAGACAAATATCACTGCAGTTCTGCTTGCATGAGTAAATGTTTGTGCATTTCACTTATTCACTTCCGGAGCCTTGAGTGAGCGCGTATGTGTGCGACGAAATGGAGACAGATTCGTGAAAGGCGAACGTCCCGTGCATGCAGAACTCTGCGATAGAGGTTTTCGGGTCCCGTCGAGTCAAGTTGTCGACTGTGGGACTGAATTCATTCGTTCCTTGTTACGCCTTGACGCTTGAAGGGTCCTCCACAAAGTACTCGTCGCCGATTGCATTTTATGAAAGGCCAAACCTCGAGCCAGTTCGAAAGCAAACGATTGGCCCCGAGGTAATTGCAGGGCTCCGTCCAACCGATGAAGCAGGACTTACCTGTCGTCTGCCGTAGATCCCAGGAATATCGACGGATGAGAATACTCCAAAAAGGGACTTCGATCACGAATGAGGGCGGAACCCATTGCTCCTTCAATGTGGAACAGCTGTCGACTGCTTTATTTCTTGGCAGACAATGAAACTGATCGCTCCGGATCTCACTCGCGCACCGGATTCCGTACGAGCATCTCCGAACCTCGCAAGGGAACTCGAATCCCCACGAGTCTACGGATCGATGTCCCGGCATACCTGGCGGCAACAGCGCAGCGCCTACGTCGGAACTCGGAACTTTGAAGAGTTTTCCCTCTCCAGGAAATAATTTCCCGGATTTTCTCATTGAGGGCCAATAGTTTTCGATAATGACGCCCTTCGCTGTGAACTTCGGACGATTGGCTTCCGAGGAGGGTCGGCCGGAACGGGACCCCTCGCATGCAAAATCTCCGCGGGAACTTTCGCTCTTCCGGTGGAGATAATCCGGAATTGCGGAGCCTCCGACGTGGCGTTGGGGGCCGTAAGGCCCCACCTCCGTACCCTTGATGACGCGCCTGCGTCCATGAACGAATGTTCCACAATCGGAAGATTACTAAAGACTATTGAGCAAACGCCCGTTCCAAACTTTGCGTCTTCCCGGCATGCAGGCTCGCTGGAGAAGAGCGGCGGCGGCGAGTCACACAAACTCCACGCAGGGGCCTTGAGTATCGGCCCTCTGCCCGCATCCGACAAGGAGCAGAACTCGAAGCGACGGCTTTTGTCGCGACGGCTTTCCGGCAGAGCGTCGCCATCGCCGTCCCTGTCGGAAAGCGGATTGCGACGTAATCGACGTGGGCCCATATTGGATTTGATGACGGTACCGGCCACGAAGTCAAAGGCTGTTGATGCTGCTCAAGCCTTCACCTTCATTTCACTAATCGGCGGCGGCGGCGACAGCAGCGTGATAATCACCGCATTGTGTACATCCTAGTAGGTAGGTCTCTGCTAGACGGACGACGCAGATCACTTCATCCCTTGGTCTACAGCGGCGACGTGTTCTGCAATTGGAGGACGTGGCTGCGTCTCCAATAGAAATCTAAAATAGAGCTGAATGATGTTTGGCCGGAGCACTTCCTGAACTGCTTCTGGAAGGATCCTTCGGGACTTCACTTTCCCGGAAGCGGTGCATGTGACGAACGAGAGCTGCTTGCGGCGTTTCTGGCCGAAATCTTTCTCTCGAGAGGTTTCGACGACAAGTTCTCAATACGGTTCGCGGAAGGGGATCCACCCAAGCGACCGACGAGAGGTCGACTTTTGACGAAGTGACATTTTCGGGGGTGTGTCCTCCTTCAGTCTGGTTGCTTGCTCTCTTCCCGGTCGCTCCGTCGGTCGGTCGGTCGGTCGTTCCGTCCGTCTTCGGTCGGTAGGTGGATCGACAGCGAGTGCCAGAGATGCGTTGAAGCTTTCCCTCTCGTCTGGGGGCTTACTCAATCAATACTCGTCAGATTTACAGTGTCGCGTCGCCTGAAACTTCGATGCCGCCTCCGCGACGTACAAGCCTCGGGTTCAACGGCGGTCATTGTTTCACCCGTTCCGACACATGTATGCACGAGAGCTTTCGGTTACCGCTCCGGGATTCAGAATTCCTCCCTCTGGGACAACCGCATCCGTGGTAGTGGAGCCCTCGATAGCGCATATCATTTTCACGGACAGAAAGAGGAAAACTCGTCCAGCGGCGCGCCGCTCGTCGTCCTCCCGACGTGTATCGCCCAAGGCCCGAAAGTATTCGAGAACACTGTTAGGAACAATTTGGGCATCTCTCCCGAGAGTAAGAATGATTTCTTTCCCTCTGATTGAATACTGGAGTTCGGTGTTCTCCTTTCCCCTCCAAGACGAATTACGGTCGTCCTAATAGGATACTTGTCCTCTGTAGCCAGCGATCGACGTTCATTCGTCTCTCGGATTCTCCACTGCTGAGTGGTGCGGCTACGATCAGTTGTCATCGCTATTTAGTCAAACGATGTCTGTAGCGACAACACTATGGAAGGGAAATACGTATTTCGATGCTCGACGACGGCTTGCGCCCCCGTTTACGGGATTCTCCGAAGCGGATCCGTTCATATACGGTCGCACTACTCGAATCTCGCGCATGAAAGGCGAGAATCCTCGCGAATGATCAACGTTCTGGCCGAACACGCTCGACGGAAAGAAAAAGCCGAGAGATGGAGGAATTGGCTGAGCGAACGGCTTACCATCGGGACGAGGGATGTATCGAGTTACGTGATCGATGACTGTCGAGGGTACCTAGGTATTAATGATTGTAGTAGTACTAATGTCGCCTCGTGAGCCCTCGGGGAACCGGACACCCCGTCGGTCGAATGATACGACACCTCGTTATTCCCTCCCTGGAACTCCGCTCCCGGAAACAGAGCTTTCCTCGAGCACTCTGATGAATTGTTCATTCCGTGCTTCCGCGCCCCTGTGGAAGCAACCGGGAGGTGTTCTCTGTCCGACGAGAGAATTCCCGACAGGAGCCGAGGAGCTCGGCTCGGGAAGCGCAAATCAGTGACTAAAATGTGAAGTTTACAAAGTGAACCCATCAAGACATTTCCATCCTCCTCACGTCTCTGTTCAGTGAAAAGTACTAGCTGCTCCGAACGGCGGAACGATCTCGACTAAGCTTCAGAGTCCAGTTTCCGTCACGTTGAGGCGATGGGATTTTCCCCACAAATCCCGCTAAGATTGTTGCGGCGGAAAAAAACGACAACGCTGCCTGCCTGCCTTCCTTCGCCCGCCGCCGCCGATTTGTTCGTTCGAGTAGCGGAGCCTTCCCGAAAGACAAATCGACCCTCATGGCAATTAAATGATCTGTTGATGTCCCTCAGGGTGTAGATGCTGCTCTCAGACGCTTTCAATACTGAGAGAGAAAGAACGATGAAGAAGATAAAGAGCGATAAGCAGGGCTGTCTGCACGACGATCGCTCTTGCCCGTCGCGGAAAAAACGTCCCGGGGATTTCGCTCCCTCATATACACAAATCGCAGATAGTCTGGGCGAAGTAATCAGGAGTCCATCCGCCTCATTGAGGACCCGTCTCTCCGCGAGAAACAGAGGATTACGTCGGCAGGGAGGGATTACGAATCGGACTCCCGGCGAATTACTTTGACAGATTTCAGCGAGAAGCTGCGTCTGTTAGGGTAAGAGTCTGGAAAACATCTCGCCGAGGAGCTCGGATTCGCCCGGAACAAATCGTCGATGCTCTCGAGAGGTAAGGGCTGGAGGTCAGCTGGCCGAGTTCTCGCCCTGGTCAACAGTGCCTAAGGGAAACTGCAGGGGGAGAAAGGAAATCCGTCGGCTAACGATGATTCCGCCCGCAGAGGAACAATTATTCCTTCGACTCCGTGAGGCCCTTTCGGAAGATGTTGAAGTGTGGAAGCCGAGCTAACAAGCGGACAGGCGCTCGATCCGGCTGCGAGATCGTAGAAATGAGGACGTAGCTAGTGTCTTACGGTTGGATGAGCCAGTTACGAAGCGAGAGCGGCTTCTCTCCATTAAGGAGCTTGTGATTCCTTATTTTGCTCCTCTGGCCCCTCCTGAGTCGGCAATGCGACCGATCGTCTCGTTGCTCCACTACCCGCCGACTGCCAAGAGGGAGACCCGGTCATGTTCCGCGGGGCTTCAGAGGGGCAAGGCGGAGACAGTATCTTATGTTCGCTTATTCCGCTAGATTACCACCGTCACCGCCGGCATTGCCCGAATCGTATTGCTGCTGACGGCGGCTAGGCTGAAGGAATTATTTTACTTGACATTCGCCTTCACTAAACGATTCGCGTTCCGCGATTCCTGCAGATGGTTTGATATTGAGGAAGGCTTGATGGATGTGAGCTTCGACTCGCAACGACTGCGTCTTCACTTGGTGGGTCCTAAGCGTTCCGGAGAGA